GAAAGTGAATTTTTGGTCAACTTTTTAGTCTGCAGTAAATGTATTGTTGCATATATTATTGTAATAGGGTTATTGCTGGTGATTACTAATTTTAATATTATTATTGGAAGTTAATTTATATTTGATAAATATATTTCTGTTGTAATTTCTTCATTTGCATGTACACTACCATTCAAAAATTTAAGGTCAGTAAGATTTTTTTAATGTTTTTGAAAGAAATCTCTTATGCTTACCAAGGCTGCATTTATTGATAAATAACAGTAATATACTGAAACATTATTGCAATTTAAAATAACTGATCACTATTTTAATATATTTTCAAATATAATTTATTCCTGTGATGGCAAAGCTGAATTTTCAGCATCATTACTCCAGTCTTCAGAGTCACATGATCCTTCAGAAATCATTCTAATATAATGTACTGATTTGCTGCTCAAGAAACATTTCTTTTTATTATCAATGTTGAAAACAGTTGTGCTGCTTTTTGGAAATTGTGATTGGTTTTCTTTGATGAATAGCAAGTTTAAAAGAACATTTAAAATTGAAATGTTTATAAATGTCTTTACTGTCACTTTACTGATCGATTTAATGCATCCATGCTGAATAAAATTTATTTATTTATTTTTGTACACCAGTTGTCACACACCAGTATTAATTTCTTACAAAAAAAAAGAAAATAATTTTTTACACCTGTATTCACACTGGCCACAATTATAGGCACCCAATTATTGCAACGTCCTTTCCACAGGATAACAGCTCTGAGTCTCTCTTATAATGCCTGATGAGTTTGGAGAACACCTGACAAGAGATCAGAGACCGTCTCTTCATACAGAATCACTCCAGATTCCCAGCTCTATGTTGGTGCTTCATTTTCTATAGGGTTCAGCTCAAGGAACTGGGACGGCCATGGCAAAAGCTTCATTTTGTGTTCAGTGATTTTTTTTTTTGTGTTGATTTTGATGTTTGTTTTGGATTATTGTCCTGATGGAAGATCCAACCATGGCCCATTATAAGATTTCTAACAGGTTTAAATTTTGTATCTGTTGGTATTTGCTAGAATCCATGATGCCATGTATCTGAACAAGATGTCCAGGACCTCCAGCAGAAAAATAGGCCCACAAGTATATTTAACCGTGGACATGGGGTACTTTTTATCCCTCTTTGCACCAAACCCATCTGGTGGGTTTGCTGCCAAAAAAAAACTATTTTTTTAGTTTCAATTGACCATAGAAGCCAGTCCCGTTTGAAGTTCCAGCCGTGTCTGACAACTGAATATGCTGGAGTTTATTTTTGGATGAGCAAGGAGGATTTTTCTTGAAACCCTGCCGAACAACATGTGGTGATGTAGGGGCTGTTTGAAATTTTTTTAGGCTTTCTGACCCCGAGACTTAACTAATCTCTGCAATTCTCCAGCTGTGATCCTTGGTGAGTCTTTGGCCACACAAACTCTCCTCTAACCGAGCATTAGGACGATATCGACACAAACACTTTTCCAGGCAGATTTGTAACATCTTTCCTTGATTGGAACTTCTTAATTATTGCCCACTTTATATTTTGTGAAGCTCAACAATCTTGTGCTGCACATCAGAACTATATTCTTTGGTTTTACTCCTTGTGTTGGATGATTAAGGGAATTTGGTCTTTGTGTTCCTCATATCTATAATCCTGTGGAACAGAAAGTCATGGCTGGACAATTTCATGCTCCTAGTCACCCTGGTGTGCTAAAAAAAATTAAATATGAATGGGAATATACTTCAGAGATATTACATATAAGTATTTCTAGAGGTGCCAATAATTGTGGCCAAAAACATTTATTTCATAATGTGAGTTTCCCCCCACTTTCAATTGTTTTACTTCAATGAAAGATTAGAATTTTGTGAATTTTTTGAATGAAAGATCAAAAAGATAAATGATGCCAATTTATTTTCACAGCCACCTTTGCTCATATTTACCAAGGGTGCCAATATTAGTGGAGAGCACTGTAGCTAGAATTATATAGCTTTTTACAAGTTAATCAGTAATCGGAGCATTATGCTCTTTCATGAGGCCTACACATGCTCTGAATGCACACAGACTATACATTTATTTAATTAAATCACACACTTTTGCTATTTAATAATCACACCAGGCCATTTTGAGATTTCAATACAAAATGTATTCAAACAGTCAAGAACTGGTCCACATCTTACCATCATTGTTCAGGTCCATTTGTCTGAATATCTTATCTGTCCTCTTCTCTGGTGTGGATTCATCCTCAGGCATTTTCATCACCGAAGACACCATCTTATAAATGGCCTGTTAAAGATATGAATAATGAACCAGGTTAAAATATCAGCAGACCACCTTTATCTGGCCTTCACAGGTTAGGCTTATCCAATATTCTGCTCCATTAGCATTTCATCCTGCACTGAGGTTCACCATGAGCCATGAAGCAGAAAGCAAACCCGAGCAGGGAAACTTCATAGGCTTTTTCAGCTCATTTACTTGCCATACCCACTAAATCAGAGATGTCGGTTTTAAGTCAATCAATTATGTAATGTTTTTGAGGGATAATGATATTCACAGTTGGGCAGACTGCTGGTGCCGTACTCTCGGCTTAGCCCTCCACCTTTTAAAAGCAGCCGCCATGATAAAATATGCAACACGCTGCAATCTCTGAGTGCCAAGCCAACTGTAACCTCCATGAGCTTGCGGATAATCTCGACGTTCTGCACACACAGGGATAAACCCCAGTTAAATTTAACTCGTTAATCCAACAGAGAAGAGAGCCAACTTGGGCGCTACGGCCCTCCCCCTATCTCCGCGATCTTCCCCACAGGCTTTGCTAGTCGAGGGGCATCGTGCAGAACGGAGCTTTGCCAAACCTAGCTGAGGGAGACTGGTACCAACTGAGCATGCTAAGCACATGCTAATAGCTTCTCTACTCCCACAGCACAGGCTAACGGGAGCGATCATCTGGGACAGCGTGCTAATGTTTGTGTTTGATCTCTCCACCAGGGGTCAGGCTGCTCATCTCTGTGCTTTCTGCAAATTATGAAGACTTGTACTGTATGTGCACTTAGGAGAATACAATGCTACTTTTTTAAAACCAGATGGTGTAGTATTTACACAGTCGGTATACTATATACTGCAGAAATAGTAAGAGTATATGGTAGCAGGCTAGTTCAAATATTGTCTATATGTCTCTTAATGATCAATTCTGATCTGATGAATAATTTCACACACATTAAAAGAGAAAAAAATTTGAGGCATGCTGCAGTAAGAGGAGCATGAAAGGCTATGGCTGCACTGTTAATAAGCAACATATTAGGCGGGTACAAATTGTCTGTTTCCTTCAAGTATTTCGATTTTTTTCATTTCTTCAAGGATAAAGGCAAGTGGTTTTTCTTTCATCTGACATTATAAGGACACAAAGTCACTACAGAAGTCAATGAACAGGAGGATTTCTTGAGCCAAGATTGATCGTCATAAGACTAGCGTGCTCAATAAGCCTGAACATTTAGAAATCACAAATCCTTGAATGAAAACCTTGCTTGAAAGAAAAGGTGAGTAGATTTCTGAAATGGAAACCAGGGACATTTTCTAGTTCAGAGGTCAAAATATAATTGAAAGGTCACATTATTATCTATGAATTAAAAAAAAAATGGAGACAATCATTTTTTTATTGTTTTTTAATTGTAGTTTCCATATACTATTATTATAATTAATAATTATTACGCAGTTCGCTGGTCAAACTGACCCAAACTGGCTGTAATAAAATATTAGTTTTCGTATATGATATTATTATAATTAATAATAATAATGCAGTTCGCTGGTCAAACTGACCCAAACTGGCTGTAATAAAATTGTAGTTTCCATATACTATTATTATAATTAATCATTATTACGCAGTTCGCTGGTCAAACTGACCCAAAGTGGTTGTAATAAAATTGTAGTTTCCATATACTATTATTATAATTATTAATAATAATGCAGTTCGCTGGTCAAACTGACCCAAACTGGCTGTAATAAAATTGTAGTTTCCATATACTAGTATTATAATTAATAATTATTACACAGTTCGCTGGTCAAACTGACCCAAAGTGGTTGTAATAAAATTGTAGTTTCCATATACTATTATTATAATTATTAATAATAACGCAGTTCGCTGGTCAAACTGACCCAAACTAGCTGTAATAAAATTGTAGTTTCCATATACTATTATTATAATTAATAATTATTACGCAGTTCGCTGGTCAAACTGACCCAAAGTGGTTGTAATAAAATTCACCAAAAATCACACTATGAAAAATTGTAAATAGTGACCATTGCAAAGAACAAACAGATCTAAAGAGTATTATATTATAAAAATTATGACTTTGCATTACAAAAATAAAACAAGATAAATATAACAAGATAAATAAAACTGTATTTAGCAAATAATGTTTTTTACATTTTCTAATTGTATTTAATAACTGTGCTGTATACAGTAGTTACAACTTTTTTAACTTTTCAAATGTTATTTTATGTTTGTGCTTTTGAAAATGGAACTTTATTAGGCTCATTATTTTCTTCTTATTATTGTCTCATTTTGAGCACAAGGGTTGGATAGTAATGTGAACACCTAGGAAATTGGCAGTATGTCTTGGTGTTTTTCCTCCATTTGTCTTTAACAAAGCTTCCAACCTTCTTAGAATAGATTTGTGCAACTACTGAATAGTCTCCAGCGGGCTGCTGTCTATCAGAACATCTGTCATGCTTAAAGTCCCCGTGAACTGGAGGTTGCTGCTGACCTTACTTAAGTATTGTGACGTATTTCCAACTGAAAGAGAATATTAAAAATCACCAAGACAAACAATTATTTCAGGGGATTAACTTGCATAGATTAATTGTTCACTTCAAAACTAACAATGTGCTCTTACAAAGTAAATAGTGTAAATATTGATTTCATGCAGAGATGCTGAAGAAGAGAATCAGCTTCTCACTCTTCTCTCCAAAACTGCCTACAGGTTTTATGTCATAATTCCATGTCTATCATGTACTTTCACCCATGTGGTATAGTTAAGATTTGGGAACGTTTAAAATTGTGTGCAAAACAATCCTGCATGCTGTTCAGGCCCTGTTATATAATACAAAATATAATCACTACACGATTACTCTGGTAACCAGCAAGCTATGTTAGTCAGGCTTTTTTGCAGTGTATTTGTGGAGTGTTTCAATGGTCAGCCTATTGAAAAAGCCTACGGCTGTTAGCTGGTCTTCCAGCCTGCCCAATCTGGTTAGGCCACTCTGTTTTGGTGTTTTGGGTGTGTGTCAGCTGATCAGGCTGTGAGACCAGCTGGCCAACCAGCTAAACATCAGTTTGACAAAGCTGGGAGACCAGCTAACCAACAGTAGCTTTGAAAGTTTGCAGTTAGCATCTAACATCTAAAGTCCAATAAACTATATTTGTTCATCAAAATCATCACAGCAGTGAGAAAATAAAGGTATGGATGCAATATTCAATACCTTTTTTCTGTTAAAAGGAGTTCATCCAAAAATGAAAATTCTGTCATCATTTACTCACCCTCATGTTGTTCAAAACCTGTAATATTTTCTTTCTTCTGTTCAGCACAAAAGAAAATATTTTGAAGAATGTTGGTAACCAGACAGTTGACAGTAGCCATTAAGATCCATAGTATTTTTTCCCTACTATGGAAGTCAATGGCTACTGTCAATTGTTTCCTTAACAACATTCTTCCAAATATCCTCTTCTGTGTTCAACAGAAGAAAGAAAATATTACAGGTTGGAAACAATTTAAGGGTGAGTAAATGATGTCAGAATTTTCATTTTTGGGGAACTATCCCTTTAAGAGTTGATTTACGGTGCAGACTACAGTACATGCATCCCAGAAAGCCACTGACCTGCACAATCTCTAACATTTCCTCACGGCTGATGTAACCGTTGCCATCCAGATCATACATGCTGAAAGCCCACTTCAGCTTCTGCTCCAGTTTTCCCCGCGATGTCACACTCAGAGCAATAATGAACTCCCGGAAGTCAATGGTCCCATCGTTGTTCGTGTCAAACGTACGAAAGACATGCTCAGCAAACTTAGAGGCATCACCGTATGGGAAGAAGTTGGCATAGATCTTCTTAAATTCCTCAACGTTCAAATGCCCACTGGGGCAATCTTTCAGGAACCCCTGTTTAGAGTGAACAACATACAGCATATTGCCATAAGTGGCATGGTTTAATAGACTCCATTATTAGAATATGACATCTCAGATCAGAGATAATCATCCTAAAACCCCCAAATTTCCACTTAAGTCTTCAACCTTCACAATCAGCCAAGGTGTTTGTAGGTTTAATACCAAGTGGGGAAAGTCTATTGCTGCATTCAATTCTGCATCAACAGTGCACAAAATGTATACAAATTAAATATGACAGTCATTTCCGATAGTACTTGAATGCACAATATGATCTGCTTTTTTCAGCCCCAGGGCCACTGTGGCTCATAATATAGTAGCTCAAATTTACATACATATACACATACATGGTCCCTTAACCTTCTTGTACAAGGGCCATTCATGTCTCCCCTGGGGCATCCAACCTTGGGATACATATTTTACTATATTTTAAGTCATTTCCCATGACCACCACTTATAGAGACATACATTAAATGCTATATTTAACCATATTTTTGGGAGGGTGGCTGTTTTCATGTTCAAATATGCATATATATGTATAAACACCAAGTATTCTCAGAAACAAATGTGCAAAAATTGTTTGTTACTGGGACAGTACCCTTAAACGGACAACTTTGCATCTTATGTACCCCTAAAAGGTTCATAGTAGTACCTGAGGGTACATATTACTACTCCAACATATTAATATGCACCTTTTGGTGGTAGATTAGGTTCAAACTTGTCCCTTTAAGGGTACTGTCCCAGTTACAAAGTGTTGTGTCCCCTAAAGATAGTTTTTGCTAATTTTCTGAAGTATGGTGGAGAGCATGAATGTATCTTTATCTGTATTTTTATAAGTCCAATCATTTACCCTCCATGTAAATTAAACAGGGGTCCAAAAAGTTTTTGGACCAAAGGCACCCATTGCAAAATTGTATTTTCCTACTTAGTATTTTTGTATTGCTTTCCAGTACATATATCTAAATATTATGAAAACAAAAAGTACATGCAAAATGTCTCAGTAAAGTAATTAATTCTGAGAAAAGATCTAGCATAATTTGTTGATGCCACTTGATTTGATATTTTGCTTGCAATGCAATAAAATTCAAAAAGTTTGTGTGGCTTAAGTCCCCAGATTCACGGCACCTGTGCATGTCTCAAGATGTTCCCACCTTGTACCACTCCTGCAGCTCGTGGTCAGTGAACTCCGTGTTCTCCCTCAGGTCCATTAGCATCTCGGGCCTGAGCTTGCTGTTCTGTTTTCCTCCAACCTTGGGATACATATTTTACTATATTTTAAGTCATTTCCCATGACCACCACTTATAGAGACATACATTAAATGCTATATTTAACCATATTTTTGGGAGGGTGGCTGTTTTCATGTTCAAATATGCATATACTGTATATGTATAAACACCAAGTATTCTCAGAAACAAATGTGCAAAAATTGTTTGTTACTGGGACAGTACCCTTAAACGGACAACTTTGCATCTTATGTACCCCTAAAAGGTTCATAGTAGTACCTGAGGGTACATATTACTACTCCAACATATTAATATGCACCTTTTGGTGGTAGACTAGGTTCAAACTTGTCCCTTTAAGGGTACTGTCCCAGTGACAAAGTGTTGTGTCCCCTAAAGATAGTTTTTGCTAATTTTCTGAAGTATGGTGGAGAGCATGAATGTATCTTTATCTGTATTTTTATAAGTCCAATCATTTACCCTCCATGTAAATTAAACAGGGGTCCAAAAAGTTTTTGGACCAAAGGCACCCATTGCAAAATTGTATTTTCCTACTTAGTATTTTTGTATTGCTTTCCAGTACATATATCTAAATATTATTTAATTAAGACGCATTTACTTGTAAAGCAAAATGGGATATATAAAATATGTGAAACAAATGTATGAAAATTAAGTGAGATTATGAGTAAAACAAGAAATAATATCTGCCAGTAGGGTCAGAAAAAATCAAATGAATTAAATTTAATATTCTTACCACACTGGCAAATGTTTTTTCTTGTTTTATGTAGAAACTCGATTAATTTGTATATGTTTTTCAGAAAACAACACCTAATATCTTTGTCATTTGTCAAGTTTAGATATTTTTATTGGAAAATATGTATATGGGATGTATGTAGGAAAATATTTTTTTGCTGTGCACTTAAAAATGTATGAATGTCACTGCATTAGATAACACACTATCAAACCAAGTGGAGATTTTCAAGAAAAAATAAATAAATAAAATACCTTTAAAAAAGTAAATGCAAAATGTCTCAGTAGTGTAATTAGGTCTGAGAAAAGATCTAGCATAATTTGTTGATGCTTGGTTTGATATTTTGTTTGCTAATGCAATGAAATTAATACATTTTGTGTGGCTTAAGTACCCAGATACTTTTTAGGGGCACTTGTGCATGTCTCAAGATGTTCCCACCTTGTACCACTCCTGCAGCTCGTGGTCAGTGAACTCCGTGTTCTCCCTCAGGTCCATTAGCATCTCGGGCCTGAGTTTGCTGTTCTGTTTTCCCATGATGATACGTCTCTGTGTGCGCAGTGACAACGCCGAGGCCCCAGGTCAGACCTGTTGGCAAAAAATGATATGAGGGCCAATGAGGTGACCTGAAAACATTTTAGAGTAGGTTACAAGTTCAAATGGCAAGAAGGAGTTTTAGATATGAGGCCAGGGGTCAAATGATTAGATGCCGTCACGGCATCGTGAACATGAAATTTCAGCTATCAGAAAACAAGACTTCATATCTAAAGTCATTTTGTTTCTCAAGTAAATATATATTGATTTACTGTAAGAATGTTTAGATAGTTTTTATTGTAAAATAATTATACTAAGGAAAAATTTTTTATTTTTTTTTGCTGTGCACTTTTTGTTTAAATATCACTGCATTAGATAACATACTATCAAACCAAATGGCATTTATTGGAAAGATTTTCAAACAAAAATAAATAAAT